GTCCCTCCCTCCCCTTCCCGCGGGGCCGGCCCCTGCCTGTGTCCCCTGCGTCGAGGGGCGGCAGCGTGCTGCCCCTCACTCCTCCCAGTTTCCTCCGACAGAGGCCCCGCTGCGGATGCTTCACATGGACGTGTGGGGCCCAGCCCGCGTCTGTGGACAGGGTCACGAGCGCTACTTCCTGCTGGTGGTTGACGGCTACTCGCGTTACACCACAGTCTTCCCCTTGCGCAGCAAGGGTGATGTCACTGAGGTGTTGATCGACTGGATCCGCGCAGGTCGTCTCCAGCTCAGGCAGAGCTTCGGCTCGGACTTTCCTGTTCTGCGTTTGCACTCTGACCGAGGCGGAGAGTTCTCCTCTGGCCTTCTGCGAGCCTACTGTCGTGCATGAGGCATCCGCCAGACCTTCACGCTTCAGGACTCTCCACAGAGAAATGGGATTGCTAAGCGCCGCATTGGCATGGTCATGGACGTCGCCCGTACGTCCATGATGCATGCGGCTGCCCCCCATTTTCTGTGGCCGTTTGCGGTTCGGTACGCGGCGCATCAGATCAACCTTCAGCCCAGGGTCTCCATGCCGGAGACCTCCCTAGCTTTGTTGTGGACCGGGAAGGTTGGCGATGTGTCTGCGTTCCGTGTCTGGGGATCTCGGGCGTTTGTCCGCGACTTGTCTGCGGACAAGCTGTCCCCTCGTGCTACTCCTTGCGTCTTCCTTGGCTTCCCCCCTGACGCGCCAGGGTGGCAGTTCTACCACCCCACCTCTCGCCGTGTTCTGTCCTCCCAGGACGTCACGTTTTACGAGTCGGTCCCCTACTATCGCCTCTTCCCCTACCACACTCCGTCCCTCCCCCCGCCACTGCTCTTCCTAGTGCGAGGTCCCCCCCCGGTAGACCCCCTCCCCCCTTAGGGTCCTGCCCCTTTAGGTGTGTCCCAGGTAGACACAGTCGAGCCTGTCGAGGTTGCTGGTGACTTTGCTGCTGCTGAGGGTGCTGAGCCTGGCGTTGCTGAGTCTGGGGGTGCTGAGCGTGTGGGTGCTACGCTTGGGGGTGCTGAGCCTAAGGGTGCTACTACTGGGGGTGCTGAGCGTGGGGGTGCTGAGCCTGGGGGTGCTACGCCTGAGGGTTTTGAGCCTGGGGGTGCTACGACTGGGGGTGCTGAGCCTGGGGGTGCTACGCCTGGAGGTGATGAGCCTAGGGGTGCGGAGCCTGAGGGAGTTGGGCCTGCTCGTCTGGCGCCTGGCGGTACTCTGCCTGAAGGTACTCCGGGTGCTTCGTCTTGGCGGGAGCCACTCTCTCCACAGGAGCTGTGCGAGTGGTTTGCCCGGTGCTAGAGGCGTGCTGCTGGAGCTGGAGGTTCTTCGGCTACTGAGGGTGCTGGTGTCGCGGGTCCCGGAGGTGCTCGTACTGGGGAGAAGTGGAGTTGCTCGGCCTTCTGGTACGACTGGAGCTGGAGCTGCTGAGGGTGTTGGCGCTGAGGCTACTACTGCCGGTCCTGGCGGCGAACCTGGTGGGGGTGCTACTGGTACTGCTGGAGGTCCTGGAGCTATTGGAGCTGCTGGGGGTGCTGGAGCTGGAGGTGCTGCTGGCAGTGGTGCTACCACTGGGGGTACTGGTGCTGTCCCTGCTCTGTCTGGAGTCGTCGCTTGGCTTCGGCCGTACTTCGTTCCGCTCCTTCAGCAGGTTCTTGGTCTTCCGCCTTCTACTGGTCCTCCTCCTCCCTTAGAGTGTCCACAGCCTGTCCCGTCACAGTTACAATTACAGACAGCCTCCCCACTGCCTTCTCCTTCTACCTACACTGGTCCTACTGGAGGTCTTGCTGAGCGACGTGACCCTGCGTCTCGCCCTGCGTCGCCTGTCCGTCCTGCTCGCACTAGTGGTCGTGGTTCGCGTCAGCATCCTCCTCCTGTCCCTGGCATGCACCGGATGTCTCTGCTTCCATCCACTGCTCCTCTGCGTGCCCCTTTGCCTTCTCCTCCTGAGTCCTCTCTTCCTGCTCTTGCCGACCCGGAGTCGGACTCTCTTCGTGCTGCCAGTCCTACTGTCACGCGTCTCCTTGCCACTGTCGTCACTGATCCCTTGAGTCCACTGCTGCGTCTGCCCTAGTTGCTAAGCTCGTCGACTTTGCTGCTTGTTCTCGTCTAGACTACGGTGCTAGTCTTGTCGCTGAGTCTGAGTCTGTATGTCCTCCGCCCGTCGGGGGTGAGTGTGCCCTTGGCACGGACGTCCTTGAGGACAGGCAGGAGGAGTTCCAGTGTTTGGCTGCTACTTCACCTCATCTCGTGTCCGTACTGCTTACCCCTGAGGGAGACCCGGATCCACTTGACATCCCGACTCCGCGCTCTTACGCGGAGGCGATAGAGGGTCCCTACTCCTCTCACTGGCAGGCAGCTATGGACACAGAGATGGCTTCCTGGAAGTCCACAGGCACCTACGTTGACGAGGTTCCCCCGCTTGGGGCAAACATCGTCAGTGGCATGTGGATTTTCAGGGTGAAGCGGCCGCCGGGTTCTCCGCCTGTCTTCAAGGCGCGTTACGTGGCTCGTGGTTTCAGTCAGCGGCAAGGAGTTGACTACTTTCAGACCTTCTCTTCCACCCCGAAGATGACCACTCTTCGGGTACTGTTGCACATAGCTGCTCACCGTGACTATGAGCTGCACTCTCTTGACTTCAGCACTGCTTTCTTGCAAGGTTGCCTGCACGAGGAGATCTGGCTGCGTCGCCCACCTGGCTTCACTGGGTCTTTTCCTCCCGGCACCCAGTGGAGCCTCCGGCGGCCAGTCTACGGTCTCCGCCAGGCACCACGTTAGTGGCACGACACACAAAGGACTACACTTGCGGCTCTTGGGTTTGCTCCCTCTACTGCCGACCCGTCGCTGTTTCTGCGCACCGACACTTCTTTGCCGCCGTTCTACATCCTCGTGTACGTCGACGACTTGGTCTTTGCCACAGCGGACACTGCTGGACTCGCCCACGTGAAGTTCGAGCTGCAGAAAAGACACACGTGCACAGACCTGGGTGAACTGCGCAGCTACCTTGGCCTGCAGATCACCCGGGACAGAGCACGCCGCACCATTACCCTGACTCAGTCACACATGGTGCAGCAGGTCCTTCAGCGCTTCGGCTTCACGTACTCCTCGCCTCAGGCCACTCCTCTGCCTACTCGCCACTCGCTCTCAGCTCTGCCTTCGGATGAGTCCGTAGAGCCGAGTGGCCCGTACCCAGAGCTTGTTGGCTGCCTCATGTACCTGATGACCTGCACACGACCTGACCTTGCGTACCCTCTTAGCATTCTCGCACGCTATGTTGCTCCTGGGAGACACAGACCAAAGCACATGGCTGCAGCGAAGAGGGTGTTGCGCTACTTGTGCAGTACATCGAGCATGGGGCTTGTGCTTGGAGGGCAGAGTCCAGTGGTCCTCACTGGGCACGCAGACGCTTCTTGGGCTGACGATCAGGCTACGCAGCGGTCATCACAGGGTTACACCTTCAGCCTTGGTTCCGGCTCTGTATCGTGGCGGGCTACCCGCTCGTCTTCTGTTCTCGTCTCCAGTTGTGAGGCTGGGATCTACGCAGGAGTTTCGCTAGCTCACCTACCTGCTGACTGACCTCGGAGAGCCGCCTCATTCTCCTCCAGTGCTGTACGTAGACAACAAGGCCATGCTGGCCTTGTGTCGAGAGCAGAGACTGGAGCACAGAACAAAGCACATTGCTCTTCGCTACTTCCTTGCTCGTGAGCTACAGCAGTGTGGTCCGCTGCGCCTTGCGTACGTGGCCTCTGAGGCCAACACTGCTGATATCTTCACCAAGGCGCTTGCGCCTTATGATCATCAGCGCTTCTGTATTCAGCTGGGTCTTGTGCCTGCCTTGCCTCACTTGCTCACCACTTGACCTTGTTTGTAGTGTTACATATATATATACACCTGCTCTTGCTTGTCTAGCCTTACATATATATGTGTAATCCTGCATGTAAACTGGCCTTGTGGCCTTGAACTTGTGCTCGGAATGTGTGGTGACTTTGTGATCCACCCTGAGCTTGCTTTGATTTGCTTGACTGGTCTTGTGACCCCTTGTTCTCCCCCACTTTGCCTATGGGGGTGTGTCAGATTTATATGACATAGCTGTTGTAGGCTATAGTGGGGTAGCACATACGGGGTACGACTTTCTAGGGTTTGTACTTGTACCCAACTTTCCCTTAGTCAATTCATTCTCGTTCATTTTCTCAGGGGGTAGTGTAAGGAATTTTCCTTGATTCCTTATCGAGTTGACTGCTACGCGTACAGCCCGATTTTCGGACTTCGCACGTTCGGCTGATTTCAACGCTGCCGAGGCTCCTCGCGTTGCCTTCGGCATTTTCCATTGCCAATCCTGCACCCCAACCTCGCTTGCCCGAGGTTTCCTCCTAGCTAGGCCAACCCCTACATTAGTCTGTGCCTTCATTGTATTCTCATTTGAGTTAATCACAGTCTCGTTATTCGTTTACCTGCGCACTCTCTTTTACAACTCATAACAATGGAGCTGAACAATTGCTGCAAATTTATAGATATACTTATAGCCATGGCGTAACTGCTGATCCTGGTGAGAATGTATTCCCAGTCGGTGAGCTCAAAGGCGATTTATAGGTGGCTTTCCACCATCGGAATGGCGAGGCGGAAGGGACAAAGCCAGGAATTCCCTTTCTCTCCCGCCTTCCATTCCCCCCTAGACTGTTCCCCTGATCCCCTTTCCGCACCTTCCTTACCCCGCACTTTCTTCCCCGCCCCGTCGTTCCCCGCACTTTCCCCTCCTCTCCCTCCTTCCTCTACTCACAAACAACCCCTTTCCCCCTCGTCCCGCCCCCGCTTCTCCTCCCTTGCCCATCTCCCAACCCTAACTCAAATCTGCTCCTCGTTCCATAGTCTCTTTCTTTCCTTCCCTTCTCTCGCGGAGTGGGACCGAGTAGGGTAACACTTAGCAGGAACATCAGTAGCGCGCACCCATCCCGCACTATTATACCCAGCAGCAGCCATGGCGACAGCAGCGGCTCGTCCGCTCGTGACAGTTCAGCCGTACGACGAGGCCGGCGCGCCGCAGCAGGCGGCGCTCCCCGCGGTGTTCCTCGCGCCGATCCGCAGCGATGTCGTTAAGTTCGTGCACGCGATGGTTTCGATGAACAAGCGCCAGCCGTACGCCGTCAGCACCAAGGCCGGCCACCAGACGTCCGCCGAGTCCTGGGGTACCGGTCGCGCCGTGTCGCGTATTCCCCGCGTTCCCGGCGGCGGTACGCACCGCGCGGGACAAGGAGCCTTCGGTAACATGTGTCGCGGCGGTCACCTGTTCGCGCCGCTCCGCATCTGGCGCCGCTGGCACCGCAAGGTGGATATTCTGACTCTTTCCCCGCTAAAGCAGATTCGATATAGATACGGGGAAGAACATGCGGTTAGTTCAGTGATGCCTACATTAGGCTCGCGAGGTAGTGAGGCATGCGAATTCCTCAATTTTAGGACCGGTTTTCTCTCCGCGCGATTACGGGCTTGCGATCGCGCTAGGTTTCTGGAGCTACGAGTATCTGAAACCTGGGTATCAGGGCTAGGTGTAGATTGCACGGATTTCCACGAAGATCGCAGGAGATGGTTCTATCAAACGCACGAAGCAGGTCTGTTGACGCGATACAAGCGATGCTGAAAAATAATGTCGCGCGTATCTACACCAAATCATGTTGGGGAGGTTGACCGCGCTCGGTCTTATCTGCGTCATGAGGGGATGAAATTAAGCAGGAGTGTTTTCACGTGGCTAGACTCAGCACTCCCCTGTGGCTTTCCTCCTCCTCACAGAAAGCGCGGAATGCGCGCTGTGTTCATGACGAGAGTCGTCACGCGCCGTTCCAAGCTGTCGTCTAGCTTGACCCAAACCATGCCCTGATCTTAACTATCCGATATAGTAAGGTCGCTTCTGAATGTTCGATGTCCATGCGACCAACGCGTTGGTTGCACTGTCATAGATCGTTAGCATGGTAGCGTGAGGTGTCGACCAGCTTGTTCGTGCCCTTCGCTAGCATTTCCCGTTAGATAGGCATAAGAATTCGTTGGCCTCCGCAAGTTGCACGTTTTCCATCGAGGAGTTTCGCAGTCAAGGAAAAACCTAGATCAACATTTTCATCTTCATGTGTCGATCTTAACGCCGTCGCGGCTTAAACATTCGGAACCCCGTGTCACATCCCTGGGTACCCCAACTCCCCTCACTCCCCCCGCTTCCCCCACTCTCCCCTTTCCCCCGTGCCCCCGCAGGTCCCCATCAAGATGCGCCGCCATGCGGTCGCCTCCGCCATTGCCGCTTCCGCCGTGCCCGCGCTCGTCCAGGCGCACGGCCACGCCGTCAGCAAGGTACGCAGTGACGTCAGCATGGTAAGACGCTCTGACGTCAGCAATAAAGTACCCACTTGCGTTTTCCCTCCCTCCCCCCTCCTCATCTTCTCCATCTCCCCCTGTCCCATCATTTCCCGCGCGTTTCCCCTTGTCCTCCCGCTCCCCCATGCCCGCTCTTTCTCTCTCCTCCCTGTCCCCGTTCCCCCCCTGCTCCCCATATCTGTTCCCCCCTTCCTTCCCCTTTTTCCCTCTGTACACCCGTCAATCACCCTTAATGCATATCCCCCCTGTCCCCCCGCTCCCCCCTGTCCCTCCTCCACCCCCCTCCGCCCTTCCCCCTTCTTTTTCTCTCCGCGCGCGTCAGGCGCCGGAGCTGCCGCTGGTGGTGGGCAACGAGATCGAGGCGGTCGAGAAGACCTCTTCCGCGCTCCTCAACCTTCTATCCTCCCCCTCTGTCCTCCTGTCCCCTCTGTCCCCTCCACTCCCCCCGCTCCTCCTTCCCCACCATCCCCCCCCACTCCTCCGCAGGCGCCGGAGCTGCCGCTGGTGGTGGGCAACGAGATCGAGGCGGTCGAGAAGACCTCTTCCGCGCTGAAGGCGCTGAAGCGCATCGGCGCGTACGATGACGTGGCGAAGGTGATTTCGAGCAAGAAGATCCGGCCCGGCAAGGGCAAGATGCGCAACCGGCGGTACCTGAGCAAGAAGGGCCCGCTCATCGTGTACGGCACGGACGGCGCCAAGCTCACCAAGGCCTTCCGCAACATCCCCGGCGTGCAGGTGAGCGCGCGAGAATGGGTGAGGGGAGGGGACGAGCAGGTGAGCGCGGTAGGGTGAGCGCTAGAGCAGGTGCTGAAAAGAAAGGGGAATTTGTGCAATTGGCTGATCCCTTGCCTTCCCCGCTTCTACCCTCCTCTCCTTCCTTCCTACCCTCATACCCTCTGACCCACCTCCGCTCCTTCCCTCATCGCTTCCTCTCCGCTTCTCCTCTTTTCATCTACTCCTCCCTCTCTCCCTCGGCCCCTCCACTCCTAGCCCCGCCCGCCTCCGCTCCTCGCCCCGCCCCCCTCCCGCTCCCTTCCGCACCCCGCTGTGCGCCCAAATCGACCAGGTGGTGGCGGTGGAGAAGCTGAGCGTGCTCGACCTGGCCCCCGGCGGCCGTGTCGGGCGCTTCGTAATCTGGACGCAGAGCGCGTTCGACAAGCTCGAGGGGCTCTTCGGGTCGTTCTCGCATCCAACCTTCTTCCTCCCTCCCTCCCTCCCTCCCTCCCTCCCCCTTCTTCTTTCGCTCCTCCCTCCCCTCCTTCCCAACTCCCCCCCTCCTTCCCTCCCGTCCCCGCCTCCCCTTCTCTCCTCTCTCCCATCCCGCTCTCCCGCTGTTCTTGTTCTCCGCGCAACCAGGTGGTGGCGGTCGAGAAGCTGAGCGTGCTCGATCTCGCCCCCGGCGGCCGTGTCGGGCGCTTCGTAATCTGGACGCAGAGCGCGTTCGACAAGCTCGAGGGGCTCTTCGGGTCGTTCTCGCAGGCGCCCACCATGAAGCGCGACTTCCTGCTGCCGCGTGCCGCCATTGTCAACTCGGACATCACGCGCATCATCAACAGCGACGAAGTGCAGGTGCGGGCGCGGGGGGTGGTATGAAGGTTGTGTCTGTGGGCTGGGAGGGAGGCGGGTGGGGGCTTGCCTTGCCTCCATGCGCGCCGCTATTGTCAACTCGGACATCACGCGCATCATCAACAGCGACGAGGGGGGGGAAGGGGAAGGGGGGAGAGGGTAGTGGCAAGGGGGACCAGGGGCTGTCAGGGTCGTTCAGGGTCGCAGGCGCCATCGTGAACTCGGACATCACGCGTATCATCAACAGCGATCAAGTGCAGGTGAGAAAAGGGGAGGTGTGATAGGGGCGAGGGGTGCGTAGAGCGGGTATAAGGGGAGGATACGGGCGACGGGGTTCAAGGGCTATTTGGGTCGTTCTCGCACCCGCCGTCGTCAACAGCGACCAAGTGCAGGTGGTGGGCAGAGCGAGGGGGAAGGAAGATGTTGCCTTGCTTACCAGCGTGTTTTCCACTTTCAGACACGGTAGTCTCACTTTTGCCCCCTTCAACCCATCCGCACTTGCTGATGTGCGGAGAAGAGTACTTCCATGCACCCCTCCCTCCGCCCGCCCCCGCGCCCTACTTTCCCAGCGCCCACTCTCACCACGCCCCACTCTTCCCGCATTCCACTCTCCCCGCGCCCCACTCTCCCCGCGCCCCACTCTTCCCGCGCCCCACTCTTCCCGCGCCCCACTCTTCCCGCGCGTCACTCGGAGTGCCGCACCCGATCCTCTTCCCTTCGCCAGCTTCCAGCTGTCCCATCCTCCCTCTCCCAGCAATTGCGCCCTCTGAACCGCAACACACCAGATTGTGCCGCACCACTCCACCGTATCCAACCTTTCTGTCTCCCCTCTGCCACTCCGCAACCCCCCCTCCTGCTGCTCCCTACCCTCCATCTCCCTTGCACCCTATGCCCTTGACTCCACTCCAAAACAATGTTTCTGTAGCCAAGGACTGAGGCTTCCCCTTCCTTATCCTGATGTGCCATCCCACCCTGCTTTCTTCCCTCCGCCCCCTCCCCCCCCTTCCCCCACAGAGTGTGTGCCGGCCGAAGAGGGTGGCGCCGAAGCCGCTGCACCGCCTGAAGCGCAACCCGCTGAAGAACCGCACGGCCATGGCGGTGCTCAACCCCTTCGCCGCGGAGAAGCGCAAGCAGGCCGCTGAGGCTGCCGCCCAGCCCAAGGCCAAGAAGGCCCGCGAGGTGCGTGCTGACTCTGTTGACTCTGGTTGACTGGGCTGTCTTGGTGGGATGACTCGGTTGGCTGGGTTGATGGGGTTGGCTGGGCTGACGTGATTGACTTGTGTTGACTATGTTCACTTTGGGTTGACTGGGTTGAGTTGACTGGGTCAACAGGTGGATTGGCTTGAGATGAAATGAATCGTAGCAATCGCCATGGATGTGCGCAAGCAGCCCTTATTGGCTGAGGAGAATCGATACTCAGGCTGCTTATGCAGCTGGCCTACCTTGCAGAGAGAGAGCGAGAGAGTTAAGGGCAAGATTCTACAGGAGAGAGTGACATCTGGCCTGTTCTCATCCTGCCTTGCACCCATCAACCTTCATTTCCTTGTGATCCGCCTCTTTCCGGCCCATTTCCTGCTTGTATGCATGTGTCTGTGCTCCTGTTCCTCCCTGATCCGTCATCCTGTTGCTTCGGCTTTGGTATGGGTGTGTGGGTGTGTGTGCGAGCAGACGGAGGAGGCCAAGAAGGCAGGAGAGTCATGGTACCAGACCATGATTTCAGACTCGGATTACCTCGAATTCGAAAACTTCACCAAGTGGCTCGGCGTGTCTGAGTGAAGTGTTTAGTACAGTACCAACTGAAATGTGATGTGGATGAGGAGCGAGTGTTTTTCTTTTCTGTATCGTTCACTAAGAATGATAGGGCTGGGCAAGAAGAGCTTTTTTCCTGGCAAGTGATGATGGGCTGGAAGTCAAGTTTAATACTTGTTTACTGTGAATGTAGTTTAAATGTACTGATGCAAATAAGGCTCTAGTGGGGATTCATGAAAAGGAAAAGGTAACAGATGAGTCGAGTCTGCGTATTTTATGTATGGGAATTCTTCCATAAGACTTTACTCTACAGCGGATTTCGATAGTGTGTCCGTTGTCAATAAAGGATGTGCTTTTGCGCCCGGGACATGGTAAAGTGAGTCCGTCGCACCGCGAGCTGCGTGTTGTTCGCTCCACACGCTTTCTCCAGAGAATGGCAGCCCTTACGAGGCTCTCAGGCGGCTCGATCGCCGCCAACTTGCTGCAAGGCCGCAGCCAGCGCGATCGCCGGTCGCTTTCCGCTAACCGCGATCCGTCGTCGTTGTCGCTGACAGGCGGAGCAGCGCACGCTCGGATTTCCAGGTTAGAAAATCCCCAACGAGATTACTTTTTGCTCGTAGGACCAAGCAAGCAGCGGCGGCCATAAGCATAATAGGCACGCACCACTGCCATTTTGATCACACTTCAGGCACGCAGGAGTTATTTTTTAACATTGTTTGGTGGGTGACCGTGCGAATCCGCGAGATCCAATTTTCGTATTATCCGATCGTGCGAGAAGCTAGCTAGCTAGCGAGGATCTCCCTGCCGTGCGCGTTCTGTCGTCTTAGCGATCGCCTCTAGTCGCGCGTCCCCCGACATATCTGGCTGGCTGTATCCCTCGGCCCCTCGTCCCCTCGGCCCCTCGGCCCCTCGGCCCCAGTACGCTACTAACCATCTTCTCCCGCGTGCCTGGTTTTGTCAGTCTAGTCAACGACCCACTCAAACGTCTTTTCAAACGTTGCCGTTGCTGAAAGTGCAGGCGGACCCGCCTTCCTGTTTCCTTCCCTCGAGCTACCCTTCCCGGTGGTGCCTCTGTGTTTTGAGTCCACTCGAAACGAAACGCGCCGCTTCTGTTGCCTTTTGAGGCGTCTCAATAGTGTCTCGTCCCTCCTTTGATACGCTGATTCTGAATCTGCAGGCGGACCCGCCTTCGTGTTCCCTTCTTTCTAACCACCCGACCCGCTGCTGCCTCTGCCGCGGCCTCTGCTGCCGCTGCTGCTGCGCCGGTCAACGAATCTGTGACTATGGAGGGAGTGACAATGCGCGTCCCGCCTCCCCCGCATCCCACGTGTGACGTCATGATGGCCGTGAAAGCCGCTCTGGATGAAGACGCGGGCGATCTCGGTGCGTGGGGGACAGGAGAGCGTATGAGGGGCGAGTGCAGGAGTGACAGGAGTGTGTGCGTGAAATATCCTCCCAGATATTTCTTTTTGCGAGCGCAGTCCATCTTCCCCTTGTGATGTGTGGCACACTGTCATGATGGCCGTGAAAGTCGCTCTGGACAAAGACGCGGGTGATCTCGGTGCGTGGGGGACAGGAGAGCGTGTTAGGGAGGGCGAGTGCGCGTTTGAAAGAAGTGCGTGAGTGATTGAATGTCCTCCCAAGTAATCCTTCCTGCGAGCGCAGGCAATCTTTCTCTTGGGATTTCGTTCTGACACACGTGTGACGTCATGATGGCCGTGAAAGTCGCTCTGGACGAAGACGCTGGTGATCTCGGTGCGTGGGGGTGGGGGCAGGAGGGCGTGGGATTCGTGAAGCGGCTTTGCTGGTACCCTGGCCAGTGGTTTGGTTGGTCACAGCTGAAACAGCTTGATTACAGATTCAGCCCAGAAGTCGCGTGTGCCGGCAAAAGCAGTCTCCTTCCAGGCTACGTTTTCCTCTTTCTCTTTTCTTCCCGGCTGCTTTTTTTCTCGGCTTTTTTTCTGGGTCTTTTTTTATTAGCGCACAAACAGCCCTTTTCCTGCGAATGCACCCCGTTTTCTTCTTCACGAGTATGCACCATCCCTTGCCACCATCCCTTGCCACCATCCCTTGCCACCATCCCTTGCCACCATACTCTTTCCTCCTCATCAACCCCCGCTCTTCCCCCCGTCTCGTTCCCTTTCCCCCACTTCTCTCCCTGCCGATCCCATTCGCCCTCCTCTTCAGGGGATGTCACGAGTCTGGCGAGTATCCCTGCGGGCGCGCAGGCGAGCGCACAGTTCCTGGCCAAGGAGGGCGGCGTGCTGGCGGCCACCAGGCACACAAGCATACCCTGCCTTCCTGTCTCGTCCCCTCGCCCCTCTCCCGCCCTTCCCCCTCCCCTTTCTCTCACCCCCCCAGGGGACGTCACGAGTCTGGCGACCATCCCAGCAGGCACGCAGGCGAGCGCGCAGTTCCTGGCCAAGGAGGGCGGCGTGCTGGCCGGCACACAAGCATGCCCTCCCTTCCTGTCTTGTCTCCTCACCTCTCTCTGGCCCTTCCCCCTCCCCTCTCTCTCATCCCCCCAGGGGACGTCACGAGCCTGGCGACCATCCCAGCAGGCACGCAGGCAAGCGCGCAGTTCCTGGCCAAGGAAGGGGGCGTGCTGGCAGGCACCGCGCTGGCTACAGCCGTGTTTCGACTGCTGGAGCCCAGCATTCAGGTGTGACGGGGTGGGGCGAGGCACAGGGTTGGGCTTGAGCGCGCAGTTCCTGGCAAAGGAGGGCGTGCTTCCGACTGCTGAAGCCGAGCATTCAGGTGCGCGCGGCGTGGCGAGATGGAAGTAGGGAGATGGGCCGAGGCAGGCAGAGTATTTAGGGAGGGAGGCACACGCGTGGGCTTGAGTGGGTTCAACTGCTGGCGATCACTGCACTCGCACTCGCCACTGCTGTGGATCACTCCAGCAGTCGGAACACAGGTGAGCTGATGACTGTTGCACGCTGCATGCTGAACGCTGCTGGCAGCCGAGCATTCAGGCGAGCGAGGCGAGGGGACAGGGGGAGGGGAGAGAGGCGACGGCACAGGGCAGGGATAGATGCGAGGCAAAGGGTTGCGGTGAAGTGAGGGAGAGGGCGTGAGGTGAGGCGAGGTAATGGGTTGAGGGAACACGTCTTGGGAATGTGCGACCCTGGGCTGGGCATTCCCTCAACCCATTACCTCGCCCCACCGTGAATTTGCTCCTTCCTGGGCAAGGAGGCTGCAGTAATGGCAGCTGTGGCTTCATGCTGGCTGCCTTGGGATGGCTGGACGGACCGGTGATTGGGGTGCGAGAGATGAGGGCTGGGAGGAGCTATACTCGGGTTATAATCGATTGCGCAGTGGATGGGCAAGTGATGATGGATGGTACAGTGGATTTGGAATGCGTATGGCCATGGATTTTGGATTTAGGACTAATTTGCATGGGTCTGTCTGTGCATCGACATGTCAACAGCGTGACATGCATTGACCATGTCGACATGTCATTCATTCAGTGCTATCTGCATGTGCGCTGTGGATGTTATCATGTTACCTTACCTGCATACTGCGTGCTGGTCTGCTGCTGCTGCACGGCATGGTGCATGGTGCACGGCATGGTGCATGGTGCATGGGAGCAGGTGGAGTGGAGCAAGGAGGATGGGGACACGGTGGAGAAGGGCGAGGTATTTGCCACGGTGCACGGCTCCGCGCATGCCATCCTGCAGGGCGAGCGCGTGGCACTCAACTTCATGCAGCGCATGAGCGGCATCGCCACGTCCACCAGGGTGAGTCAGCATTGCCACGTCCTCCAGGGTGAGTCAGCACTGTTACAGGCTGGGTCAGCAGAGGGAAGGGCCGAGTCAGCACAGGGAGGCCTGGGTTAGAGATTAGTTAAGCGGCTGAGTGGGTGGGTAGTGGGTGGGTAGTGTGTGGGTTTATTGGATGGGCGGATAGAGTGACGCGACCCACATTTTGAATGCTGTGTCAGGTAACAAGGTAACATGGTAACATGGTAACATGGTAACACGGTAACATGGTGACATGGTGACATGGTGACATGGTGACATGGTAACATGGTAACATGGTATCATGGTAACATGGTAACATGGTGACATGGTGACATGGTGACATAGTGCACATAGCAACTTCCCGTCCCTCCCATTTCCCTCTCCTCCACCTCTCCCCCACATTTCCTACCCTCCTCTCCCGGCAACCCGCTCTGCCACAGCAGCTTCCCTTCAATCATTTTCCCCCGCTCTCCCTGCCCTTCCCCATTCCATCTTCCCCCCGCTCCCCTCCCCCCTCCCCTTTTCGCCCCACATGGCAGGCCATGGTGGAGGCAGCCCGCCCTGCCACAGTGCTAGAGACACGCAAGACTGCCCCGGGACTCAGAATCACAGACAAGTGGGCGGTGAGTGTTGTCTCGTAGCGCACTTGCAAGCCTGTGAATCTCTCTATCTGTCAACCTGTCGATGAGAGTTGGCTACAAGAGTGAGTTAGAGGGAGGGGGACTGACATAGTGGCTTGACGAGGCGTTTTGGGCATTGTCAAGAAACGCCCGCAATAAGAAGGGTATGGAGTGGCTTGACTAGGAGAAGTGTAGGGGCCAGGGGTCTGGCCCTGAAAATCGTGTGGGGGAAGTTGAGTGGCATGGGAAAGCAGGATTTCAGCCACCGGAAATAACTTTTGAGGGGCCTCACAAATTTGAGCCACCGGAAATAACTTTTGAGGCGCCTAAAAGATTTCAGCCACCGGAAATAACTTTTGAGGCGCCTAAAAGATTTCAGCCACCGGGAATAACTTTTGAGGCGCCTAAAAGATTCTAGCCACCGGAAATATATCTCTGGTACGCCAAGAGCGCTAAGTGAAAGCAAATGCGGACTTACTCTCTTGCCTCTCACAAGTGACAAGCGGTGATCGGCGGGAGGCAGAGCCACCATGTGGGCTGTATGACATGCTGCTGGCCTTTGAACCAACTCAACACTCGTCCCTATATGTATCACGCTGCTCTCTGTCTGTCCCGGATGCCAATAGGCCGGGGGCGCAGCCACGGGGTGGGGCTGTCTGTACAGCCTACCACTTGTTCTGTGAAGTGGCTCAGACGGCGTCGCTACCCTACCGCCCTCTGTCTGTGTCCCAGGTGCTGATAGGAGGGGGGCAGAACCACCGAGTGGGGCTGTACGACATGCTGCTGGTGAAGGACAACCACATCGCTGCTGCTGGTGGTGTGCCGGCCGCTATCAGCTCTGCCAGAGAGTACATCCGATCCAACGGCCTGGATCTCCCGGTGGAGGTGGGTGAAGGTGGGGAGAGTGAGTAGGTGGCGGTGTGAGGAGGGGAGAGTGAGTAGGTGGTGGTGTGAGGAGGGGAGAGTGAGTAGGTGGCGGTGTGAGGAGGGGAGAGTGAGTAGGTGGCGGCATGAGGAGGGGAGAGTGAGTAGGCGGTGGTGTGAGGAGGGGAGAGTGAGTAGGTGGCGGTGTGAGGAGGGGAGAGTGAGTAGGTGGCGGTGTGAGGAGGGGAGAGTGAGTAGGCAGCTTGGATCGGGCCTGGTGGACGATGGGTCAATGGAACGATGGCCATGCTCTCCCCCCTCACCCCTCCCTATTGCCCCTTTGTCACTCCCCCCGCCCTTCTTCCCTTGCCTCACCCCTCCCCCTCACGCACACCTCGAAATGGAGGTTGAGACCGGGCTTTGAATGAGCTCCAGGAGATGCTGAGGTGAAGGTGTGGGAGGGTTTATGTTCTTTCTTCACTCCCCCTCGCCCTTCTTCCGTTCCCTCACCCATCCCTCCCACACTCACCCGTCACTCCAGGTGGAGGCACGCACGTTGGATGAGCTTCAGGAGGTGCTGAGGTGTCGTGGTGAGGGTGTTGGGCGGGTGACACGGGTGATGCTGGACAATATGGTGGTGCTGCAACCAGGGGGAGGGGATGGTGGAGGTGCAGTGCATGTGGACGTGTCCATGCTGCAGCAGGCAGTGAACATGGTGAACGGGCAGCTCGAGACCGAGGTAGGCAAGGAGTGGGGGAAAATTTCTTGGAAAATCTGGGAAAAGTGGGGGTCTGTGTTCACCGAGATTTTGGTGGTGCGAAAGTCCATGCTTATGGTTGTTTGCTGGTCGTTTCTTTTGCAGGCGTCGGGCAACGTGACTTTAGAGACTGTCGGTGCTATTGCTGCAACTGGTGTTGATTTCATCTCAAGGTTTGTTGCCTATATTGTTTTTTATGTCTGCTTTGCATCTTCGGCAGTGGTGCTTTTATTCTCTAGCATGTGTTCTTATACCACCTTGTGCTTCTTGTGTTGTGCATGCAGTGGTGCTTTGACCCATTCTGTAAAAGCGTTGGATATATCGCTCAACATTGACACAGAGCTTGCACTAGACGTTGGTCGAAGGACAAATCGTGCTTAGCCAAATGGTGGACATATTGTGAGCTTTTCTATGTTCGAAGTGTGTTTTGCAACTTCGTATGTGTGAAATATCAATGGCCATAGTGGTCAAGGTTTGACAACATCGAAGGTCTCCATACCGGCAAATTCGCGCGGTAGCCGTTGATGATGCCGCGCGAGCTTTTCGTCACCTGAGCTGGAAAATTCGTTGTCAACGTGTCGAGCAAGCCCCAACCTCCGCCAGGCACACCGCAATGGCGCTGGAAGCTGGGTGAGAGTTGGTGGAGCTCGGTCCGCTGGTATTGCATCTTGCACTTGCTGGTTTTCCCTTGCACACCCTGCTAGATTTCCTACCTCTCCTGGATCTCTCCAATTCAAACTGGCCAAGTACAGTGCATTTTACAAACATGAGCAGCAACCCTTCCTTCTATGGAGGTCCCGAAACCGTGCATGTGTCGGCGCTGATGCTTGCTCAATCTGATTGAGGAGACTGGCTAGCCCGTAGTAGGAAAACGTCATTAGTTGCTAGGTGCGTCGTTGATTGCTAGCTGCCTGTCAGATGGCGAAAAGGTCGAAGGAAGACGCACTTTGCAATGGCGAAGTGCGTCCGCTTTTGGATGACCAAGCCGTTTCTTCGTCTCAGTATGGTTCAGTAGTCCCCCCTGGTCTTAATTCCAATGACGATTCAGGCCCGAAGGAAGCTTTAGCACGATGCCTTTCCAAGCCGATTCAACACGAAAGCTTAGATTATGAGTGAGTGGGACGCTTTGCGCTTCTGTCATCGTTCAGAGACGATTTCATGGATACGAAGTGACTTAGCTTTCCCTTCACGTTCTCTTTCAGGGTCCTTGAGTCTGCAATTCACGACGAGGACTGGCGCTCAAGAACGCGCGTAGAGCACCTTCAGTACACATTGCTGAAATGGCTCTTTGTCCTGCTCGTTGGCGCTGCTACGGGAGCTGTCGCTTTTTTCATAAACATGGGTGTCGAAAACATCGCTGGCTTCAAGTATCAGATGGTCCGTAAATACATGAAGACCGAAAGGTGAGCCTCGATTGTGCTGTCAATGACTACGTTAGTCCATTGACTCTGATGCTACTACCGCTACGGCCTTACTCTCATCCCCTGCTTCAGTTTGCTTGCAGGCTTTTTTATTCTAGTGTGTTCCGACGTCTCTCTCGTCCTCTTCTCGTCGCTTCTCTGTAATGTAATTTCAATGGAAGCTGCCGGTTCTGGTATCCCGGACGTCAAAGCGTATCTCAACGGAGTAGATGCTCCAAGAATATTTGCAGCGAAGACACTGTTTGTCAAGGTACTGATTTTTCTTATCATTCGAATCTCTATCATGAGAGGGTGGCATTTAATTCCTAGTATTGTCTTCCTACTCGCAGATCTTCGGAAGTATAGGCTCTATCGCTGGTGGTCTTGCTGTGGGAAAGGAAGGTCCGCTTGTTCACACAGGGGCGTGTATTGCAAACGTTCTTGGTCAAGGTGGCTCTCGGAAGTACCATCTTACATGGAAATGGTTGCGGTACTTCAAGAATGACAGGGACCGGAGGGATTTGGTGACATGTGGTGCTGCCGCAGGTGTTGCTGGTGCCTTTAGAGCTCCTGTGGGTGGTGTGCTCTTTGCCCTGGAAGAAGCAACCTCTTGGTCAGTGAAGTTGCTTTTGGTCACCGTGTTGATCTGCTGAAGAAAAGCCTCATTGGAGCCTTCGTTGTTGCTTTGCTGTGCAGGTGGCGAAGTGCTCTTCTCTGGCGAGTTTTTTTCACAAATGCCGTTGTGGCCATGGTCGTCCGTGCTCTTATGACCTATTGTGCCAATGGACACTGTGGGCTTTACAATGGGGGAGGGTTTATCATATTTGATCATACAGAGGCGAAAACGGAGTTTGGAGTGGTGGAAATGTTTCCAGTCATTGGGTTGGGAATCATTGGAGGAATTGCAGGGAGCATTTTTAACCAGCTTAACCTCTCGCTATGCAAGTTGAGACAGCAAGGAAGCAGGTAAATCGGTTGCACCATCATCAAGTTTCTCTCGCTCTGGGCTTGATTGTTGATTTTGTCGTCTTCTGCTGCATTCACATTCGGATTGTTCTTTATTATTGTTTCAGGCGTGGAGTGTGGAAAATTGTAGAGGCATGTGCAGTGGCAGCATTGACATCTGCAGTTCGATTCTCCGTGCCATTCCTGGTCAAGTGTCAGCAGTGCCCGGATGGGATTGAATGCCCCAGCAAGACAGAGATGGGGTATTACAAGAGCTTCACTTGCCCTCCGGGCCACTACAACGACATGGCTGGCCTGCTGTTTACACCCAACGATGATTCCATTCGAAGCCTTCTCAGCAGCGGAACCCATCATGCATTCTCGTGAGCACCCATCTACCTGACTACACATCTCCACTCCACACTTCACTTCACATTTTTTTTTAAATGGGTTTCTCACGGTTTGGTGCCTTGCCCTGCAGGTTCACCTCACTTGGCATTTATTTCTGCTGCTTCTACTTCTTGTCCATCCTCACATATGGCATCACTGTGCCATCGGGCCTTTTTGTGCCTGCAATTGTCTGTGGTGCAACTTACGGCCGCGTGGTTGGAAGAATCATGTCCAACTATGCACCAGCAGACAACCTGGATGAGGGGACTTATGCACTTATTGGCACAGCATCTTTCCTGGGAGGGTCCATGAGGACAACTGTGTCTCTCTGTGTGATTCTCCTGGAGTTGACTGGAAGCTTAAAACTGCTCCCACTTATCATGATTGTTCTGCTGGTTTCGAAGACGGTCGGTGACATGTTCAACAGCGGGATTTATGATGCACACAACCAGCTGAAGGGGATCCCTTACCTGGAGGCTCATCCTGAGGAGGCCATGCGGCATTACACTGCCAAAGACATTCTCGTCTCCGAGCCGGTGAAGTTCTCAGGCGTGGAGAGTGTGGAGCGGATCTACGATACACTTCGCACTACAAACCACAACTCTTTCCCGGTCATTGACACCCATGAAGATGGCTCAACATCCTTCTACGGACTTGTCTTGAGAGGTCATCTCTTGGTGCTCCTACGGTCAAAGCAGAGCTTTCTGCTCCATCCGCAAGTGTCTGAAACTGTCCAGAAGCACCTTTCAGCAGAGGATTTTGGTAAGCCAGGATCAGGGAAGGGGCTGAAGCTGGAGGACATTCAACTGAGTGAAGAGGAACAAAAAATGTTCCTAGACCTGCATCCTCTAGCCAACAGATCTCCATACATTGTGCCTGAGAGCATGTCTCTCAACAAGGCATACATGCTCTTCAGACAGCTGGGCCTTCGTCATCTTTGTGTGGTTCCCAAGCCGACTCATGTTCTGGGCATCATAACCCGCAAGGATCTGCTGCCTCAGAATTTCAGTGAGCGGAATGTGTCTCAGACTTCATTAGTTTAGGAGTGTACTTTTTCTCATTCATCCACTCAATTAACAAATGACTGCTGCGTAGGGGGCATAACAAGGGTGCAAGGGCACCCGGGAAGTGACATACCATTTCCCGATGTAGATACTGACCTTGTGATGGAAAAACATACTCTAGCAACAAACTAGCCCTTGTGAGGGATTCCCTCGCTTCTCTAAGCCCTTCGATGCCCTTGCTCCTCTTCCAGGCCTAGTCCAGACCTTCTCCCCCTTCCCCCCAGCCTTAGGTCCCCTCCCAGGTCCCCTCCCCATGCCCCCCCTTGTGAAGTCTCGCACCAGCCCAGCCCCCCCTTCCTTCTCGCGTCCCTCCACCCAACCTGATCCCTCGCAGCACCTCAATGCCACTTGCATGCCCCTCAACAGCCACACGCCTGTCAGCTAGCGAGCTGTCAGCGCCACGCCATGGGCGCGTTCATTAACAAAAACAAGTGTGATTATGCTAGACAAGGGTGTTAGCTGAATCAGACTATGCAAATTCAATAGTCTGAAAAATCAGACTAAGCTCCAACATTCGTCTGGAAAATCAGACCAGAAAAATATGCCCATCTGATCGTCAGACGGAACGATTTTTTACTTTGGTGTTTTCAGACAAGCCCAAATCCTAGCAAGAGCCCTGAACTAGATGCCCTCGTGGCTGGTGTCAACACCGAATGGAACAATTTATGCAGATTACAGGGTCAATCAGGAGGTCTCTGTACATTTGCTTTAGAATGAAAGGGAGCCCAGGGCCCACATTATCAGAGTAAATTACTCTGTTTCTCTGAAAATCAGAGTTATTTTTTAGAGGAACTCTGTACCTGCTAGGTTATGATTTTGGTACCGTAGTTGTGTTTTCTCTGATGTATCAGAGTTTAGGTATAGGTCACTCTGAGGGCCCTGGGTTTTTTTTCTAAGGATAGTGTTAACTCTGTACAGAGGATACAGGCCCCCTAGCCGAGCCCCCCCCACCCTTTCCCCAATTACCGGGGTTTCCCCGATTCGCCGAGCACAGCATCAAGATTCGCTTCGTGTGTTGACGGCATTTTGCGCGCTGATTGGCTGGAGTGGCAATTTTCCCAGCCAGCGCACATTGTTAGCCACATCCACATCCACCTCCCAACAAAACACCACCTGTAGTCCGACTCACAGCACAGGAGAAGAAGGAGAAGTTGTATTTGAAGGCCCAGAAGAGCTACACGGCGGACTGGCTTCCGCGGTTCCCATGGTTAATCCTTGATAAATCGACTGACGCTTTTCCTTGTGTTAGCTGCAGTGTCTGTATAGAGCACGGGAAGGACGATGCTCGCTACGGCCGCAATGGGAAAGGAGGTCGGGACCTCCAGATTGGGTCATTTCGCTGGCACGAGGAGAGCGTGAAGCACGACGATGCCATGAAGAAGCAAATGGGACTGATGAAGACCATCGAGGAGCAGAACGCATCGACGACTTCGCGAAGGGCGATCCGGAGGGCGCGCGGATTTCACGGCTAATGCGGAGCATCGTGTTTGTGTGCA